ATTGTCTTGGTAGCCTAAGAACACGTTTTGGGCGATCAGTCTCAGTCCATGACTCCATTCTTCGGCAACTACGGTGCAAGGCCGATACTGTAGAAACTTGCAATTTGTACCCTTGACCTGACCTTGACCTTGACCTCAAACTTAAAATTAAGTACATGTTTTTAGTTGTTCGTGATGAGATCTTTCGATTGGCGTTTGAATTTTCCAAATCGGACCATTAGTTCGGGAGATAACAGGGGGGTAAAATTTACCCCCCCCCCCTCCCCCCCAGCCCCGCGCGTTCGGCTGGAGACCCCAGCCCCGCGCGGGTTAAAAGATCTATGTGCCGTGGCGTGGAGCGAGGTGCTCACATGGGGTTATTAGGACGTTTTTATGAGATGATGCTCAATGATCAGGAGCAAAACAAGGACGGAGAAAGGTTTGCATGAATCGGAACGGTGTCGTTTAAGGCTTTTGTTTTTCACTAAGTGAAATAAAAGGTTTGCTGCCCTCGTTTCCATCTGAATATTTACATCTATACATTTGTCATAAAATCTTCCCCCTAGCCTTTTTGTTCTTACATGTTCCGGCCAAAACATTTACAAAGTGTTCAAGATTTACAAAAAGATATAGGTACAAAAGATGTTAACTAAGTAACTAATATGTTACAGATTTACAAAAACGGCGAAAGGTACTCGGTAAGGAGAGCGAACGGAAATGAAGAATATAAAATTGGATCATATGTATCTTTAATTGGAAAAAGTGGAAAATAAGATTGAATAGAAAGCTCTCCATTCCCTGTTCAAATAGTGTTAGATCTAAAGAACCGTTCGGGAGCCATGGTACTATCAATAGTGACATAAATTCGCATTAACTGAATGGCAAAACAGGCGGCAGATAGCAGATGCAATAATGGAGACAAACGCTCTCATCTGCCCCGGCCATTACCTGAAATAATTGAACGATTCCCTCCGTTTCAAGCCTGGATTTACAAATATCGTTAACGCTTTCTAGGTAGGTCGTTTGACGTTCCAAAGAGACACATGAAGCTGTTCACACATTGACAGAATTGGTTTATTTCTTTTACGGCTTCCACCGGCGGTATGTTGCAGCAAATAAGTTCAGATGCAGGCAATTCAAGTGCACAGCAAGCATTTCAACAGGTAGATTCCCAGTGGATCGAATGATTGTCGAAAATAAGTAATTTTGATTTAAAACTTTTAATTGGCATATAATTGTCCTAAATTATATGTTTGAAATAAATTCAACATAATTTTATTTTAATGGCAGATAAATGCTTCCGATGCCTTAAGTCCCTTTTGTGCCTCGCAATGCAGACATGTGACGCGGTCTGAGGATGTCGAGTCATAATCACAGCTGCAGATTGAGCGTGTTCAAATGTTACTCGTTTCAGCCACCTCCCTTGATGTTTCCTAATTTATGCGCACCTCTGAACGCAATTTCATTTGGAATGCGACGTCTCCATAATAATTATGCGGTTCTATCGACTAAGACGGTGGCGTGTGTCTCCTGCCGAATGCTGATGAATGCCAGCGCACAGCATCGTCATTAGGGTGTGCCGTGTCGCGCGCGACGGCGGCTTTGTTGTCAGCGCCACAGGCGCAGAAAACACGCCGGGTGAAAATCGTCCAACTCTACACTCGAACGGAAGACTTTCACTTTTCCGCCACGCATAGAGAAACGCATGGATAAATTATTGTTTTCTCTTCTATCTCCTTCCCTCTCTTCTTTATGCATTAGGGCTCTAGCACTAGTGAGACGCCTTTAAAATTGCATATAGAGTCAAGCATATAAAATATGTTTTTTTTTTTTACAAAAATACACTTTCTACCTCACCATGAATGATAACCTTGTTTAACAAGATTCCTAGAAGTAATGAATGCAAATATCCTTACGGGAGCGAACCTGTAGCATGTTATTTCAGCCGGTCTAACTTTATAAACCACTGCTCCGCCTCCGCGGCATCAATTAGAGCACATCTCAGCTCTGCATACTCGGCCAGCAATCGCTGTTTTGTACCGCTGTTCTGCCAGTTCTGCCAGCAGTAGTGTACCTGTACGCTCTCGTGTCTGTCCGTACCCCGTCCGTCCGCGGTCGGGCGAGGTCGGCCTGCGTCGGCGCCTGCCGCTCGGCCAGGGAGGTCTGTGGCCCGCCTGGTTCATGTCACCCGCTTCTCTGATGATGGATACCGCGGGTCCGCCCGAAGCATGTCCAGAGCGAGACGGTATCGCCCCCAGCACAGTCGGCACTCGGCACTGCCCAGAGGGCACCGACACGGCCGCATGGAGAGGCGGAGAACCGTTCCCGTTCGGGCTGCCTCAGGGTTCACTGATCGACCCCGTACTCTTTATCAGGCACTCGGCAGAGGGACTGATACACCTCTCGGCCCGTATTATTCGGAGGAGGGGCCACCAGGGTCTGCAGCTTAGGCTGTGGAGCTGTCCAGGGTATATTGAGGGGCGCGTGGGGTGCGAACTGGGCTGCCGCAGGGTCCCCTGGTCTCCGCACTGGCTGGCTAAAGCGTAATCAGCCTTTTGGCCACAGCGTAGTCATCCTCCGGCCCCGTACACCACGTGTACCACTTGGCAGTGCTGCTGCAGTGTGGTCCTCTGGTCGATCACGGCAGGCTCTGCCTCTCGGCCCTGTATTACCACGCAGTGCTGCTGCAGCAGGGTCCTCTGGTCCACCACGGCAGGGCTGCCTCTCGGCCCTGTATTACCATGTAGAGCTGCTGCAGTGTGCTGGTCCTCTGGTCCACCACGGCAGGCTCTGCCTCTCGGCGCCGTATTACTCGCCAGCCGGCGATGGACGGCCGCCGGGATAATGCTCCTCAGCCCAGCGAGGTCACGAAGGCCACAAGTTACGAGCCCGGAAGTTTGCTGATATGAAGTTGCGTTATAGGGTGTGGTGCGACTGATTAGATGGCCGGCGCTGGAGCTATTGAACCCCTGCTTGTATGTGGGAAATGGACGGCTGTCATCATCAGACTCTCGTACGAAATACCACGCCCGCCACGGGTAGTTAGATTGGAATGTTCCTGAATTATTCAAGCTGTTGCTCAACGTTTGGAGAGATAGATAAAGAGAGATAGATACTTTTTAAAGATATGCCTTAAGTTTTTCTTGCGGAATTGTATGGACAGATATAATAAAGTACCACCTTTAATTTCTGGCAGCAAAATTAATTTTTAAGTAAATAATACCAAATAAGAAACTTTGGTGTTATTGCAAAATGCAAAATAATAGGTAATCCAACTCAACCCTTATCACCTATGAGTATCTTTCTTGTGAAAATCTTGCTATTCGCTTAACACTAAAGAGCTGTTTGATTGAGCCGAACCGGTCCTTTATTCATCTTTCTTTTGGTACCTATATTTAGTATAGGACATCCCGAACTGAATAGTTATCCTGAAAATTATCGGTTTTGTATTTGTACTTTCATACATCAGTAAGATCTTTGGTTTTCGTTCAAATTGGAAGCTATCTATGAAGACACTCAGTTCGATTATATTTTTTTCTTTTTCCTTCCCCGTCTCTGATCGTCGCTCCGAAACCAGTTGAGCTCACCTGTGCGCCACGTTTATGAGTAATTCGAGCAGTGGCGCGCCGGGCCTCACTCAATCAATTACGACAGACGTGCCCTGAAAATCCACCTCCTGTCGGCCCAAATGTATCTGACGTGATCAGCATGAAGGCAGGGCTCGGCCGGTCTGCCAGTGAAAGAAGCAGCCACACGCTTTTACCATGTAGCGTTCAGCGTTAAATGAAACGGAAAATGAAATGTTTGCATTGCTCCCTGAGATGACTCGCTTGATTAAAATTTGTGATGTTGCATTAGGGCGAGCAATCAGCATGAATAAGACGTTTGCGTATAGTCATGCCTCAAACTGTGACATGATATTGTGAACCGGCCTGAGGTCAAGGGAGAGGGACTTGATTATGTAAGCATTTGCTCCAAAATCGCAATTGGTTCTCTTTCTCTCTCTCTCTCTCTCTCTCTCTCTCTCTCTCTCTCTCTCTCTCTCTCTCTCTCTCTCTCTCTCTCTCTCTCTCTCTCTCTCTCTCTCTCTCTCTCTCTCTCTCTCTCTCTCTCTCTCTCTCTCTCTCTCTCTCTCTCTCTCTCTCTCTCTCTCTCTCTCTCTCTCTCTCTCTCTCTCTCTCTCTCTCTCTCTCTCTCTCTCTCTCTCTCTCTCTCTCTCTCTCTCTCTCTCTCTCTCTCTCTCTCTCTCTCCTCTCTCTCTCTCTCCCTCCCTCACTCACTCACTCACTCACTCACTCACTCACTCACTCACTCACTCACTCACTCACTCACTCACTCACTCACTCACTCACTCACTCACTCACTCACTCACTCACTCACTCACTCACTCACTCACTCACTCACTCACTCACTCACTCACTCACTCACTCACTCACTCACTCACTCACTCACTCACTCACTCTCTCTCTCTCTCTCTCTCTCTCTCTCTCTCTCTCTCTCTCTCTCTCTCTCTCTCTCTCTCTCTCTCTCTCGTCTCGACGTGCGTGGCGTGACTTGCTTTTTGATTATTTACTCTGGTGGGCTGGGGTAGTGGAATCATTGAACAGTAATTCGCTGGGAGTGAGAGCCACGATTCAATGCTGTTTGGCTCGGCAGAGATTTCCCGTTCCGATCAAAATACCTGCGATAGAGGCACCGGTGATGGTAATAGGATTCTAGGTCGCGTTGTTTTGATGTGTGATTGAATTTCGGAGGAAGCCTGTAAACAATTTAATTTTAAAGCCGCATCAGACTGTTTGTTTTTGCACAAAGCCGATCGTCATGATCTGTTGATTGGATGGCGGGGCTCGCTTTGAGCCTGGGCTGGGCGCGTTCTCGTTGTTTGGGGACGCTCTTTGTTTGTTTGGATGGTGATACCGTCTGTTACCCCACATGGCCGGCTGGTCTGCAGTCAGTCAGTCCTCACTGCCCGGCCAGCTAGCAGGCCGTCTGCTAATTGACGCCGCGCCCGTCTGTTCCAGAGATGAAGGCGGCATTGAGCATCGCCGTCGCCTGCTTGGCCCTCGCCCTCACAGGTGAGTCTCGTGAGCAAGTCATGACCAAGTAATGGCCGTGTAGAGTGAATAATACATGCTATTTCTGGTATAAAACTCACTGCAGTTCAAACAAAACTTATGCATACATATTGTTATCTTTTTCACGCTTAGGTACTTTCGGAGCACTGTGACTCGTTAACTTCTCCCTCAACCAACTCCATTACATTTCAATGTAGAGAATATGGAAGGCATGCATTTAATGGGTAAAGACATAGGCAAGTATTCAAACTGTCAGCTTCCGACTACGCTCTTTACGTTTGTTGTCAAATCCGAGTGTTGCTCTGAGCTGATCCCGAGAGGACGCACTTAGCGAGTGGGCCGCTGAGGATCATATTTGCATGATCGGCTCCGGGCCTGCCAAGCCCGTGTCAGCTAATGGACCAGAGCGGAGTGTTGTCCCGTGACAGAGCGACACACAGTGCCGGCAGTCACGGCGCTCAGTGGGGCGCTCCGGACGCTGTGCCGCTGTGGACAAGCCTCATGAAGGAGGGAGTACCTATCTTGCCGTCATGGTGTGACTCGTGCCTTGATTGACGGCTTTTTGAAAGCGAGTCGCTGTCAGTGCCATTATTGGTGGGGTGACCGGGTGAGTTTATAAGGTATGACACCCAAGCCATCGGTAAATGCCTGCAGTGAGTCTATTCAAACTAGTGATTTATCTGCCGTGAGTCGCCTGACGCGAGTGGCTCTGTATGTGCCCGCCCGCTGTCGTGAGTGAGCGTTCTCCGAACAGCAGCGGTAAGGGAGGTGGATTGGACACAGTCGACTCCGTCACCGCATTGAGCCATCAGCGGCCGTGCACTGCAGTGATGGACGAGGAAGCCAATGCACACAGGGCCGATCGCCAGGTCTAGCACGACATGGGTAAAAAAATCGAACTTTGTGGATGTGCAATGAAACCTATACCAATTTGTTCAAAAATGATCATACTACATTGCTGTGGTCTTTGTTTTCCAACACAATGGCTATTTCATGGCGAAAACTCAGCTTAAACACGAACTTCGGAATCGTTTGGACCGAACTCGTCCCCCGCACTCTTCGACAACGTATCTTTGATCCACGAAAACAATCACAATTTGAGGAGGAATTCCACATTTATGTACATCAAACGATAGCTCCGGGTCTGCAGAACACACCTAACCACATGAAAATGGCGAACTCTTACTTGGTTATGATGTATTGGCACTGCAAAGATTTAAAGACGAAAATATAATTTCACATAATTGATGTCACACACAAATAGACTTTAAAAAAAGTACCGCAGAGTACCGCTTCGAAAATCTCGCTACATGTCAATGATTCATTGCACTACAAGATCCGAAAGTCATTTTTTGCGACTTTTTGCGACTTTGGATGTAGCAGCCAAACATCAACCCGCGCCGGACCGGTGCTCGGCGTCAAACGCGCCGGGCCGGGAGGTGTTGATTGAACACTCCCCTTCTAACTCGGCTCTTGGGCCACATAGCGACACGTAGTAAGTGGCATTCGAAAAAGCGCCCGAAATTCCAGATGGAGTAATTAGTCATTTCTAGGTCAGGTCAAAGGTCACGTCACTAGAGGTCATCAAAGGTAGAATGTTGCATTTATCAACATTTATCGAAAACCGGCTCTTACATCAGGGACCAATAGAGCTACATCGTTGCGGAAAAGTGCATTCAATTGCTCTTTTAGCGGTCTTTCTGAAATAAGCCCTCAGATTTGGCTTAACCCTCGCCCCTAATGGTGTTTTTCCAGCCGCGAACGTATAGAAGGGGTCCGTTGGACCCCCGCCGTTTCGCCCCTGATCGAGCTAGAGCTTCGCGGAAAAGACGAGCGTGTTGCCCGTGACAAGAGGAAGCTGATGATACCCAATTGTAAGGTCCTAGGTCATCGATTGACCTTCCAGGTCAGGTCAATGACCCAAAAGTCGGGAAAATCGGGACCTGTTAGAACGTCGTAAAGGGTGGCTGCTATGGGTTTTTAGGGTGCTGATCACGAATATAATATTATTTACGGTCATAGATGATGTCTTCATACATTTAGGCCAGGTCGGGTCAGGTCAGGTCAGGTCAACTAGTAAGGGTTTTGCCGGGTATTTACAGTAGGTGGCAACCGCCTCTGACAGCTTTGTAACATGTTACGAAGGCACCAAAGCTACATAGTAAATGTTCAAATGGTTGCTAGATTCGAATTCAGCTCCAAAAACTAGCCTAGAAACATGTAAAACTCGAAAAAGTGAACCAAGGTCATCAAAGGTCAATGACCTTACCTGACCTTCTGGTGACCTTGAACCCATTCTAATGCATGGGAGCAACATAATATCCCATGTTTGAACGCTTTAAACCAAGAAAAGACTGCAAACCCGCGGCTAATGCGAGCCGACATACGCTGAATCGCCATTCCGGCCAAACATGGTCTCGAAAGAAGGTCACAGGTCAAAGATCACGAAGGTCAGGGTCATGAAATTTTCAGCTTAGCTGTAAAAGTAGTTATCGCGAGGGTACTGAAAGTTTCGTTTGGATCGGCCGCTTTTTACGTGAATTACTCGCGAAAAACCAAGGGTTCCGTTCGAAGATTCAGGCCCTGTCGCGCTAGAATGGCATATCGGCCCACTGTGCAATTATCTATCTTACTATTTGAGGAGGGTGCGTCTGTCCGTTACCGAGGTCCCGACTTGGTGCTGCTTTGCGTGGACTACAGACCAGACCGTTGCACCGAGCCCGGTGAAATTTGCACAACTCATAGATCAAGGATGCGCGACGTGCCTTTGAGGGGTCTCAGCTCGATCGGGTCGATAGGGAGCGCGTGGCGCGTGCCCAAAAAGTGCAAACTCGCGTCATAGACTTAACATGTATAAATCGGCGTGCGAAATCGGGCAAAAAACGGCTAATTTTGGCCGACACGGGTCCAGTCCCCGTGCAATTTCTTGGTGACCAGGGATCCGACCGGCACGGGAAAAACAGCATCGTGTAGAGAATCGAACGGGCTATTGAATGGTGTGCGGTGCAGGAGATGGCACGCGCCGCGTGCACCCGTAAAGATACTTTTATTGGAAAAATTGCGTTTTTTTTTACGGATTTTGGAATTAATTTTATTTTTAGGTGACCGTTAAATGGAGCGAGTTGAATCAACGCCTGTTGGCAAGAGAAATGTACCGCCTCTCATATAAAAATTGTGAAAAGCTGATTGATCCAAATTAAGGTGGTGCAAATCACGGGAGAAAATGGTGTTTGTCAATGATGTGCCACTTTATTAATTACACGGGTTTTGCTGCATAACCTGATACCTTTGGCAATTGAATATGGTACCATTGGATACAGCATTCAATTCTGTCCAATATTCACTCTTCATTTTTGCATGATGAGCAACAGTATTCTTAAAAATGTAAATGTTCCAAACCATTACATTGTCATTTTTAGCGAAATTCATCGATGGCCCTCAAAAGACTTCACGCCAGTTTTCGAATCATTCTAAAGTAGAACGCATGATAATACGACACGGGCACCTCGATGCGATGTATCCTTTTGTCTTCTTACAAAATGCTTGGCCGTCAAAAAGCAATCGAACGAAATGGATATCTACCAACCAAATCGACACAGACCAACCCAATACCCACGGGTCAAAAAATCCCCCCTTCGCGTTGCGGAGCACGCGGGTAACCCTAGTGGTTCACTAAGTCAGCAGTTTACAGCTATATGCTGTTGACGGTCCATCAAGGTTTTATGCTAACCACACGCGCCTGCTCACGAATACTGCCTCAAAGCCCATTACCAGGCCCCTATAAATTACACAACGCAATGCTGAAACATGCCGGAATAGTTCTAAGAACTAGTGTTCAAACTCTACTGGGCCATCAGGAAACGCCGTTACAGTTTAGGCGTTCAGCCTCACACGAACACGGAAAATAGACAATTGCATGCGAATATGTAAATGCTCAGTTTCGATGGAACCAAAGCCTCCAAGCTAACCCGACACAAGCGAAACAGAATGAATGCACGGCAACGACACGATTTAGTATGGTGTTTCCATCTGGTCAGTGGGCATTCATAAACTTGTGCTCAGAAGTACCAGCTCTGCACGGACGGCCACTGACAAAGGCATGCCCGATGGGTTGAGTTTTGAACACAGCTGTGCTATGAACATTGAACGGTCTGAGAACGGTCACCTCTGACCTTTTATACCGCCCGGGACGGCAGCGTGACATGACACGTCCACACGGGCAGGTCCACCCGCTCAGTGGACGGGACACAGTGACATTAGAACACCGACCGCCTGTAGAGAAACAGAGAAATGTACAGGTGAAAATGTTTTGTTGGAGCATTGAGAGCATTGTTAAAACCTGCATAATTATCGACAAACCAAGCGTCGACTGGCGGTGGGTTCTCTCCGAGATCTGGTCACCCCATGGACGGACAGATATCTCCCCCGACACGATATTGCGCACACTGCTCACTGCTATCCGATGGATGCGGGTAGGAGATTGAGCGCATTTGCCGCCCGTGATTGATGGAATATAAATCCGCCGGTACAGCCGGCGACCGGCCCAGAATAAATAGAGTACCTACAATTGGGAATGCCTACATTCATCCGGGATCTGCGCTTCATGGGTACCTAGTGGAAATGGAACGCTTCAAAAGGCTCACACATGAGTTTTAGGCTCTGGAAATAAAACGTTATCAGTGGAGGATGATTTATGGTGTTGTGTGCGAAAAACAATCCGGTGAACTGAATAGCAATCAGATAACTTTGGTATCCAAACAACCAGGTAGCGCGAGAATCCTAGCAAACTTCGATTTGACAACCACCGGCATCAATATTTCGCCGTGAGCAGTTTCATACGATGTGATTAGCTTAAGTTGTGATACAAAGTCAGAATAGTCTGCCAGCAATGCAAGGGTGTCTGTCTGTCTGACGTGGAATGACTTAGGAGGACATTTAAGTCAACCAGTTCTTCGCCCCTCTCCTGGTACGAACTTACATACCTACTAACAATATAAGGC